TAGCAGGTCGGTAGGAGGTCGGTAGTAGCAGGTCGGTAGCAGGTCGGCGGTTGCAATTTCTGGAATTCGTCCCTTCAGTAGACTTATTTCCACCCCCTACACGTGGAAATACGCCTACGGAAGATTGGAAGGGACGCATTCCAGAAAACACATCTATATAGTCTGCCTGCCAAGCCTTTCCTTTCTACTTTGCGGCCTCTACCCTCCTGGTCAAACTAAACAAATGGTTTGGGCTTCGCCACTCACTATCTAACATCTACCCAAAAAATCAATAATCGCTTTGCAGCTTGCACCTCACACATCTGCGCCATGCCACGCAATACAGCTTTGGGCCCAATCTACATCACTCCGCACTTTGCACCATGCCGCACACCAAGGTCATCACCACTCCGCGCACTGGTTTTTGGGCCCCTTCAAATTCCGCACCATGCGCGCACCAAGGTCAACACCACTCCGCGCACCGGTTTTTGGACCCCTTCAACTTCCGCACCATGCCGCGCACCAAGGTCAACACCACTCCGCGCACCAGTTTTGATGGTTTTGGGGCCCCTTCAATTTCCGCACCATGCCGCGCACCAAGGTCAACACCACTCCGCGCACCAGTTTTCTATCCAAATATAGGAAAATCAGATTTTCACGTGTTAAGCGTATCATGGGCTGATCAAATAATATATATATATATATCCTAGATATTGATATTCTATATTTTATATTATATATTGTGTGTATGTATGTATGTATGCATGGATGTATGCATGGATGTATGTAGGTAGGTAGGTAGGTATGTATGTATGTATGTATTTTTTCCTAAAGTTGCTTTGTCGTTGGTGGCCGTTTTGGCCCTTGCTTCACACGCCAGCTCAGGCGCAGGTCGTAGTGACTCAGAAGAAGTCGACAACCGTGACCTCAGGGTCGTCTGTGCCCTCTCGCTCCTCCTCCGCTCGCTCATGTGGACTGGGTGTCATGCCCGGTTGAGCGGGTGCGGTGGTGAGGGCCTCTGTCGAGAACCGCAGCTTCTTAGGAGCTGGAGGTGACATGTCCGGCTGATGAGCCGAGGCTGGGGGCGGAGTGGCATGAGCTGGCTGGGTTTCATGGCCAGTGTTGGTGGCAACCTGGTTGGTGTGCGCCTTCCGAGGGAATCTGACTTGCTCTGGGCTTGGGTGCCAAAAAGCTGGAGCAGTGTAGGCGATCTCTGTGTGTTGCCTTGGCATTCTTTTGTGAGTGCCTTGGTCAGAATCAGGCGCTCTTCTGCATCCAAATGGCTTTGGATTCCGCAGTTCACGCGTTTGATGCCCTTCCCTTTCTGCCAGAGCGCATGTGTGGTATGCCCTCCATGTGGCTTGCCATAGTGCTCATCAATGCAGCGGCTACGGATGAAAGCTTGGAAGCTCTCTTCATTGGTTCTTTTGTGTTTTGTGGATGGACAAGCTGCACTTAGTGCATTTGAGATATCCTGTCGTTTCCTGAAAGGAGTGCTCATCAGCCGCCTGTGGGTGTTGCTGTTGCACCTCCATCAGTTGCTTGATGGTGCTGGCTCTGGTGATCTTTTGGCCAACTGGCTTGTTGGGTCGGAGATCGGGTTCCAGGGCCTCGTGTGTCAGGAGTTCACAGTCCTGTTGAAGGTGACGCTCAAGGACCTCCACAGTAAGTGCCTGATGCACTCGGGTGTGGCAGGTGTGGCATTGGTAACCGCTCCTGTGTGCCTCCCATTGGTGTTTGTTGGGCTGCCATGGGAGCTTACATTGGTTGATGAGCCGTTTCTTGTATTGCTTGGTGTTGTGCCCTGCTAGGCGGACTGGCTTCTCGTGGATATAGTGTTGTGGATCTTTGTAGATCTTCTCCAGTCGTGCTGCGGCTTGCGTGTAGATCCGAAGGTGATCTTGGTCCAGCGTCTTTTGCCAGTTCTCCGCATGTTGGTCATATATCGTGGAGGCCCTTTCGCAAGCCGCAAGGGCAGCATCCCTTTGGCGTCTCCTTAGGTGGGGTTCGCTGCCTGGTGCATCTGGGGTCCTCTGGTTCTTGTGAATGTACAGAGGTGTGATGCGGGTGAAGAGGTTCTCATCGTACCCTTTGGCCAGGTCCTCAAAACCTTTCCTTTTTCGTGGGTTGGTCCACGCCTCCCAAACTGAGCCCAGTTGTACGATCACGTTGATCGGGGTGAGGACATGCTGGGCCAGCGTGATGAGCCCTTGCCCGTGATGGTTCCCTTTTCGCAGCAGGGTGGTGAGCGAGAAGGTGTGAACACAAAGCGCGAAGATCCACGCTTGGGATCTCTGGTCATAGGAGGATGGTGTCGCATCCAACGTCACTGAAAGCCCTTGCCATGGTTGGAGGGGCAGGGGTTCCAAGGTGTTCCAGCACCCTTGTCCTTGGAGTGGTTGCGCCACTTGCAGGTGATCCTGCAGTTCTTTGGGAACCCAGCCGTGTGCCCATAGGGGCTCTTCGAGAGGATCTTGCAATCTCTCTGTCCAATCGATGGCGAGGGGGGCGTGGCCCTGGTTGTGGTGCCAGGTGCAAAGCCACACGATGTGCTTTGGTGTTGCCGGTACCTTGCACAAAGGGCATGTTTTGATCTTCTCGCCCTGTCTGTAGTGGAGTGCCGCCTGGTTCCAAGTCCTTATGTGTTGGACTTGTTGTTTTGGGAGCAGTTTGGCTGCCTTCTTGGCCGTAGTCCAATCGAGCCCACTGACCAAATTTTGACAGTTTTTCCTGCTCGCAAATCGACTGGTTCTTTGTTGCTGTGCTTCATGGTGTAGAGTCTGCTCGATTGTGGCCCAGTCATCCTGCATGTTGATGTGGGCTTCTGTCATGAAAGCGGTTTCATGGCGGTGCCACTGGTACAGGTTGGCTCTCATCCATCCCCATTCTCTGAGGTAGGCCAAAGTGGCGGCCATGGGTCCTTTCACGTGGTACCAGGGGTGCTGATGTTTGTGTATCTGGTTGCGGAGTGTGATCCATGCTTGCTTGATGTGCTGGATATGGTCGGGCGGCCAATGGGAAATGAGGGTGTGTAGTGCCCGGATGTGGTGTATGACCACCTGTCGCCGGGGTCCCCAAACTTCTGGCTGACCTGATCATAGATGACATCTTGCAGCCCTCCTTGGTGAAGCCCGAGGTGCACAGCCAGCCCCTGTCGAAGTGCAAGCCGGTATCTTGGCGCTAAACCTTGACCTTCAAAACCCCAGAAAGCCACTGGTTGGACCCCTCCTCGATGCAGTCGGAGTCGTGTTCTGAGATTTGGCAGCTTGAGGCTCCGCTTTTTGATCCTCCTTTGCTTGTTTTTTCGGAATCTCTGCTGTAGTGTGGCAATCCTCCTCTTGCGCCCGGCTGCGTGGTCGATGCCGAGATCCCTCATCACGGACTGGATGGGCGGGTCGTGTGGGGTGAGGAGTTTGCTCAACTCTTTGTGGATGATCTGGTCGGTGACGATGAAGGCCGTTTTGTGGCTATTGACAACCAAACCTGCCGAGGTCAGGCCATCTCGAAGCTGGTGCCATGCCTGCATGGTGCGTTGGGCCAAATGTTGTGCATCCGTGTGGCTACCATCAAATCCAATGTCATCCACCCAGCCATTCAGGTGCGTGTCAGGGTTGTCCTGTTGGAACCTGGTGAGGATGGGCTGTAGGAAGGTTTTTGCCAGTAGTGGCGCTTCTGGACATCCGGCAACCACTCCAGTTGTGACATGGAACCATGGGCTAAGCTCACCCTCCGCCAGAATGGCCTTGTGACCAGTATAGACCTGCGTTGCAAACTCCAGTGCCAAGGGAGGGTATTGCAAGTCTTGGGCCGTTTGTTGGAGTTGCTGAAGGTCGAGGGTGTCATAGAAGGTGCTCATGTCCAGAAGCACAGTGATGCCGTGTTTCTTGAGGGACTTGGCCGTTTCTTGCCTGAGTAACCGTTCGAGAGCCACATGAAGTGCCATAGTCCATGGATGGAGGTAGGGATTGCTGCCAGGCATCTAGGAGTGGTTTCCTCATCCGGCACCATACCCTGTAGAGCACACTGGTCAACGTGATTGGTCTTTCGACCTTCTCATTTTTGGCGAGCATTACGACCAGGCTCATGGTGAGTTGGGTGGGGAGTTCGGCCTTTGCTTCCATGGCCTGGAGGATGCCCAGAAGTGGTTGTAGGGCCTGCTTGGGCGCTGTTCTGAGCAACTGGGTAGTGATGGCATCCGGCCCACAGGCCTTGTCTGGGAGTTTCTTCAAGGTTTTGCCAAGTTGCTCGAAGGTGAGTGGAGGCAATTGGGCTGCCTGCTGCTTTGCGTCTTCTTGCAAGGGCAGTCGTGTCATGGGCTGGTTGTC